ACGTGGACTCGAACGTCTGAAGAAGGTTAGCGACAAGGTGAAGTCGCAACTGTCCTTCGTGGTACCTCCCATGATGCGGGATTTAACGAAGGGCAGGACGATCTTCCGAGAACAGGCGACGAATGTGCGCAACATTGTGGAGGGAGTAGTGAGTGATATCCATATTAACACTCTGCACTCGACCAAGTCATTTGAGGACGTCTACGGACGGTATGGGCACGACAGGAACGTAGTCAGCCTGATTGTGTGCTTGCTCATCCTTCTGGTAAGGCGGACTTAGGGATTCCAACCAAAAGGCCTTAATTATCGAATTTTCATTTAGGTACTATTTATTCTGATCTTTGCTCTACTGTGCGGTTGCTTTGGGCGACGACGAACTGGATATGGTGATGAATGCTGCAGCAAGTCCACTGGTGCCACCTGCCTGCTTCTGTGAGTAGCTTAAATCTTATTCTGTCCTGCGGACTTTTTGATTCATTATTATTGTTACTTTTTTCAGAGCCATTCTGCTGATATTCTGTGTTTTCTCCATCATCGCACTGGTTGGACTATTCTACTTTATGCTGGGCATGGTAACCTACCAGGGTGCCTGTGCACCACTGAGGGATCAGGAGAACAACACGTTGTTCCGGCAACTGGACGCGTCTATAGATCTGAATCACTTCTTGCCGCCATCTGAAACTACCAAGGAAGTGCATCCACTTAAAATGTCTAGTGCAATCAAGGCTTGCCACGCCAATCAGACCATATTCAATATGATGCGTCAGCATAACATATATGACATCAACGATCTGACGCGCATAAAGGTGATGTCACACACGCAGGAGAATACAGATTCGATCAAGGTATTCGACGAGGATCTGTCCAGCGTGGTACTCCTGACGAATGAAGAACGCGAAGAGCTAAGCAAAACGCGCGAGAGCAAGCTTGCGAAGTACCATAGCTCCCTGTACATGCCTAGTCTCTGCACCCAGTTCACGCCCATGAACCTGAACGCCCTGTCCGAGCAGCTGTACAAGCTGTCCAACGATCTGGAGTACCCTGCTTACGGCTGGGCCAAGGTGTCATTCTGGAATGAGGGGCTCAACACCAAGGCATTCTATCGCAATTTTGTACCGAAGCTTACGAGTCTTGTAGACAAGATGAAGGCCAATCTAAAGAGGATCGACGAGCTAATTTCGTACGAAAACCACGACTTTACCAATACAATCAAAATTCTCACTGACACGGCCATCAAATCCGAAGAGTTCATCCAAAAGCGCGGCAAGGACTACATCAACGCCCTAGGAAGCAATCTGACGCATTCCATTGACCAGATGATAGACGACTACATCGATATGATTATAAAGGAGGCCAACGAAAGTGTGGGTCATTGTGCACCCCTGTCGTACATATATTATCGTGGAGTCGACTTGATTTGCCACCGCATCGTGGATCCCATTGTGAGTTATTATTATTTGAAAATGGAAAGATTTCAAATTTAATGCAAACTATTTTTACAGAATGGATTCTGGGTAGGCATACTGTTGTGCGCCCTGCTCTTCCTGCCGATCCTGTTCGTGGCCCACCGCCTGATGTGCCTGTACAAGAAGATCTATCCCTATCTGGCCACCGTCGGAGCCGCTGGAGTGGTCGAGGGCGGGTGAGTTGACTTCTTTGAACTACTATTAGCTTTCAGGCATCCCCGCTAAACCGCCTAACCCAAAGATGTCCCATTTGCACGGGAGCTCCATATGTGCCACCGCCTGTAGTTGCCTGCTCTGGCGGGCAGCAGGCTTATTGCGGCTGCTCTGCGGACGCAAACGCCCGCGGTGGCGGTGGTGAAGAAGTCATTCAAGCTGATGAAGCGGGTGCAGTTTCCTGGGACGCGATTGAGGTGACCTTAAAGAAGTCAGATCGCGATCTCGCCGCCAGCAAACGAAAGACAGACTAACACCTTGGGTTGGATTCCATTTTACCTAATTAACTTTCAGCATTTGTTTTATAAATGTATGCATGTACCGAAAAAAAATTCAGCGTTTGCACCATAAACTAAGCCGTCCACATTCTTCTCATTTCACCGCTAACCCCGAATCATCCCGCCCACAGAAGCGACTATCTGTACGATGCTTATAGTGAACGTGATCGTGAACATGTACCATTGGCTAAGTAAGCGATCATCCAGTCACCTCTCTCTTTTCTGGCTAGCACTTTCGCTAATCCTGTGTCCCACTGTCCCATTGCATCTCCTCTTCCAGCGTTCCCAAGAAGCGTCGCAAGGCCTACGAGCGGCGACGGGAACAGCAGGATTACTTTGAGGACGCCTCGCCCAGCGTTTCGCGGGGCAACCGCTCTGGCGGTGATCGTGGTGGCGGCGGAGGCGATGGAGCTCCTGGCAGCAGCAGCATGCGTTACAATGACATGGCGCCAACGTAAGTGTACTCCACCACCCAGCGAATCCTTAGCCTGCTTTTTAGCTCTAGCTAAAAGACTTTCTTATCATGATAATTGGTACTATGATCTTCCTTAAAATATAATGAAAAATATAATGTTAAAAATATTTAATTATTACGAAAGTCTTTTTAGCAAATCGCCCAATATAATCTTACAATAGTGAATGCCTTGCAGCTGCCTAGTATTGACAATTAATTAGCTTGACCGCATCGATATCCAGTTTCCCTTGATCGTTTAGACCGCTGCTAAATCGCTAAAACGCTAATTTTTAATTTCGTTTAATTTAGCGCTAAAGGTGTGACCAATGGCACTCGGCCAAAGGCATTGGCGGCAGATGGTTTCTTTTAGGCATGGCCCGAATGCTTAGCGGTTTTGGTTTCTGCTCGGTAATGTGCCTTTTGAAAGACTCGATCGGTGTGCTTCCCCGACAGCCGCGATTCGAATACATTTCCGACTGTTTGTGAAAAGACTGGAAACCCCCTATCGAAAACTTGCTTAGTTCCCTCTGTTTTCTCTGCGATCTGAACTTTATTTTATACTCAATTTTAATTGGTTAGTTTTCTCGACTTGCTGAATGTAGTAAACAAACATTTACGCTTTATTAAACACTTTATTTTTCAAGAACGTTTATTTCTCTTCTGCAAACATTCAGTCTTACCTCGGTGAACAATTAAATGTTTATGTATTGAATTTGTATTGCTTATTGGACAAGCTTGCGAACATTGCTGCTCCAAAGTTAAAGACACTTCTGGACACAATCTCTTACCAGACAAGCCCACAGCTCATTACTCAAAGCTTATCCTCCCAGTAAGTCCACCGATGGCTTTCGATGGCTTTCGATGGCTGGTAAACGCCCGCTTTTTCATGACCAAGTGCCACTAACTCCATATCGGGTTTCGATCTATGTTGACCAACTAATCTGATTAATCGCAGCTACTGCGCCCTCCTGTGTTTCTGTTTCTGTGTTGTGCGTGAGTGGTCGCACTATAAATATTTAATACGCCCTGCATATTTCCCATGAACTAATTCGATTTAATTGCAATCCACAGGCACTGGGACCACGAGCCGCCACGATACCACAATCCCCCAGCTGCGCCGCCATCCTCGGAGTACGAGCGTCCGCCGCCCTACTACTATCCGGGTGCCTCCGAGCAGGATTAGATGGACGGAGGCGGTTTGTTCGAGAGGTGGCAACATGAATGATTTTATTTGGAACCCTCACGGCCTCGGTCCCCTTTTCCCCTATATATCCTCTACTGAGACTGTACTTTAGTTAAAGGTCTACAAAAAATAACTGAAATTATATAATTTAATTAAGTATCGTAGCATCACTTTTGTTAGCACTTTGGCCCGACCAGGAGAAATGCCATTGACCTGAAAGCAAATACGAAAATGGTCTAAACACCCTTTTATAGTTACTTTAAACAAATGTTGCCAAAAGACGAGCACGATGTAGCGGACGAATCCGGCGGGGATGGTCCCAGCCGGAGCATTTAATGAAGTCTGGAGTCCGGAGACTCTGGGCCAGAGGGCCGAGCGGCAGGCGTCGGATCTGATGAGTCCCTTGAAGAAGTTGGCCATTCGCCGGGTCGCACGGCCGCAGAAGCTTTTAGGAATCTCATAATTTTATTATGCACACACTCAGAGCAGGCGAGACATACCCAAAACGAAAACAAAATGAAAGCAAATCAATATCTAGCAAGCAACTACGTAAATATTAACCGATCAAAAACTTTATGGAATCTGTAAACTTCCCGGAAATCAAAATCGCGTTAAAGAAAATATGATCAATACCAAAACTGCCATTTTAATTTAGAAAAGAGCAGAACACAGAGTTGGGAGTTATTCAATGCATTTAATGTATTTATTTTAGAAACAATACACAATACTACACTCTTCCTTAAAACCGACAAATTGTGCATTCGGACACTGATAAACCAATCAAATAAAACCCTCTACTCAGCTACAGAATGAATGAATGTAACACGTATCTTAACACGTTGTCATAGTTTAGTAAGAGAAAACCAAAACAACAGCAAAACAAACCCCTAAGCATTTAAACGTTCCCAATTGTATTGTCTAGAACCTAGGAGCAAGCTGTAAGTTTCCAGAAACCTATAAACACCATAAACACAAATAAACAGACATGCGAGCATATTGTACGGATTACACAATTACATAATTTTTAGTATTATTATACAAGTAAGATGTATGTTGTATTTTACATTTGACGTACATTAAATGATTTCCGCTTAAGTCAAGTAACCATGTATCAATATTGCCCAGCGCAAGTAAAGATTATCGAATAAGATCCCGGAAAATACGAAACACACGAAACCCAGTTGCCAGTCAATCATCGAGCTCCGTTGATGGTTGTCTCTGTCGTTTGCAAAATTTTGTCAATAAACTTCAAGTGGTTTTATGTACGAATAAGCGACTATCAAAAGTAATTGTTTTTTGAAGCATTGTTCTTGGTCAGATCAACAGTTCTACTTATTCTTACCAAAGCAATCTGAGTTTCACAATCAATCCTGTCGATAAAGAATATAATTGGAAAGAAACTAACTATGAAACTAAAGGTGCACCTATGGTATTCCCCTATTTGGATCATAGCCCTTCGGCTCCATATCGTTTTATCCCAGACCAACCGATCTCTGCGTCCCTCTACTACAACTATGAGGAGGTTTAGTACACAAAATAGGTATGCAGAACCAGAAAGCAGATCGAAAGACAATCAGAACAACGAGAATGAGGACTCTTTGGGTCCAATCACATATTTAGCCCATGTTTTTACTGGATTCGTGGTCTCAGACTCCAAGAAAGTTCCCCAAGGATATATATCCAAGGAGGGCAATGACATTGGATCCAAGGTACGGGAGGACGACTGGAAGGAGTACTTGGCATCCCAGACGGGCCTGATGATATTGGTCTTTCTACTTATTCTTCTGTTTCTGCTGATGCCCATCTTTGGGTGAGAGCTGCTTCATTTTTGGAGAAATTATATTCAGCGAACTGATTCCCATTAGGCTAATCTATGCCTGCTGCTGTGCGCGCTGTCCGAAGAACCAAAGGTCCACTAAGGGCATGCGCTACTGCTGTGGCATTCTATTGGCCCTTTTGGCATTGCTGATGCTGTGAGTATATAAGAAATGTTTCAGCCTAGTGGGATTATGGATTTATTCGTAGTTTATTTCTAATTCTTGCCATAATGGCGGCCACTCAGCTGAATAAAAACTTGAAGAACCTTAAGGCGACCGGTTGTTATCCCAGCAAGACCAGGAAATCAAATGAGGACTATATATTCGAAAAAGCATCCGACCGTATGCGTCATCTGTATATCATTAACTACGATCAGATAGTAAAAAGGATCCAGAGTAATCTCAACCACGAGCCCGCTATTAAAAATCCCAATAGGGAGCCGGAAGTCCTTGCCAAAACCATTGAGAAGCTGAGCGTGGTATTGAAGGAAATGCGAAGGATCACGCCAGTTATACAAAGGATCAAGATTGAGTTGCTCAATGCCCGAGATTTGGCCACTCAGTTTCGGGATGGTGAGGATTTGATTCCTTTCATATCTGGTCAACTAACAGACAATCCTAAACAGCGTTACGTGGCGTCAAACGCGATCTCATGGTGTTTCTAACATCGGACTGCACGCAAGAGGAGTGCCAAGACTTCTACCGTGCGAATGAGATCAATATGCTCGACATGGGTTGCTTGCATTACGATAGTGTAAGAGGATGAGTTTATCTTTCAGAAGCAAAACTTTAATAAGCCACCACCCTTAAGCTACCAGACCTTGAATCACTCCGTGCATCTGTTCAGGATGTGATAGACAGCAAGTTTATAAGCTATCCCATTCGAGCAGTGAAGCAACTGCGACAGGTTTCCAGGGTGCTAAAAGATCGCATGAGTGACACATTAGAATCTATCAAGAAGGACCTGAACAAAGGAGGTAAGTTGCGTAATCTATGAAGACTGCTCACAACATTTTAGTCTGATAATCTAATTAGCAAAGGAGCTAGAGAAGAGGTACGAAGCGTCTTTGAAAGTCTTGAAACGCGTGGTTGAGGAGATGAAAAATGACATGCCGGCGGTGGTCAAGCCAAATCGTGGAACTAGATCTACGCCAGTTGCTGCATTGCGTAGAAAGCTGGGATCCTCGTGGTTCGGAACTACGTTGGGCTTCATTGTGCCATTAATGCTGGTGCCCCTTATTCTGCTCATTGGTCTGCTGATTGCTTTGTTCAATCCGAAAGTAGGCAGTTGGCTGCTCTGCGCCGTCCTGGTTGTTCTTTTCATCCTGTTCTCGGTTGGATTCATACTGGCGCTCTTCTATCTGCTGCATGGCGCTTTAATGTATCACGCCTTTTGCTCCAGGTATGCTTAATCTTTTCGCAAAGCACTTGTGCGGTCCAAACTAAAGTTTCATATCGTTAAAAGGAAAACCCCACAGCCGGTAGACAACAAATCTATTAATCCCAATGAGTTTCTCCCAGAAAACGTAACCATCTATCGATCCATGGCCATGCTAAGAACCGCGGAAATTCTGCAGAGCTGTGTTCGCAACGAAAGTTTGTACAATGTACTGGGTCTCAAGAAGATCTATAATCCGTATGGTTTTCGGGATGATGTGATGGAGGACGTACTCAAGTCCCTGGAGAAAATGGAGAACACAGCATTGCCCGGCGGACTTGAAGAGATTCATCCCGAGGCAGACGAAGCTGCCAAACAGCTATTGAGCGGAAACCTATCTAAATATGACATAAAGGACTACACAAGACACATTTGTCTCCAACTGGTTCCAGAACCAAAACCAGGTCCTGTGAACGCGTTGAGCAGAAAACTGGAAAGCCTGGCGAACAAGATGACGCCGGGAGTCGCTCTGAAAAATCAGGCAATTTATCTGCGAGCCTATCAGAAACACCTGGGTGTACCCTTGCAAACGATTGTCCAGCGACTGATAAATAGGCTGAAGCAAATGGATCGCCTCATATCAGGTGGCTACGGTAGCTTTAGCAGGTACCTCCATCATCTGCTGGACAAGATTAAGCTGGGCGACGACTTCTTGCGACAAGATAACAAAAAGTTAACCGACGGGGTGGCCCGCAATATCAGTAAATTGGTGAAATCCGGCCTCAATGATTACGTTCGAATGGTCGACGAGCCCATCAAAGGGGACACGGAGAGCTGTGAGCCCCTCACCCGAGAGGAGGATGCAGTCATGGTTGAGTACGCCGACCTGTGCAAGCGGATTGTTAAGCCAATGGTAAGTGAAGAGGTGATTCCCCGTTAACCATACTCTTATGGTTGAGCAAATAATCGAACAAGTTGGCATTAACTTAATGGTGAATCAATATTGATTTTAGTAGCGTTCGAGTATGGCTAATCAAAACATCTTATGAAAATCTATGTACATATATTCGTATGCTTATTTATATTATTTCCATTCCGTAGAATGCCATATGGTTCTGGCTTTTAGTGTTTTCCATGCTTTTCCTGCCCGCCATTACCTGCACCCACTTTTTAAGATGTTTTCTGAAATCTTTAAATAATTATTCGGAGGCACCACGAGTTTCCTTTGCAGAGGGCAACTTTGTGGCCCCTGGTATATTGCCCGGTGCTTTGCCACAATGTCAATGCTACAGGTACCTACCCGTTGCAGCGGAGTCAAGTGTTGACTATTTGGAGGGCACGGAAGACTACTACTATGAGGATCAAGCGAAGCGCAAGAGGGAGTGATTTTAATTTGACAATAATTAACTACTGCTGTATTATTTTCAATTGGAAAATATATGTTTCTAGTTGAGAACACCACATCCGAGAATCCAAAGTCATTCTTTTTTATACGGTTTCTAGACACATAATATTACTGGTTCCAAACGAAGTAAGTAATGAAGTTGCTATGCTGGGAGTCGTTTGGTTGGCCCATGCGCAACATCCTGCCTGATTCTTTGTCCTGGACAGATGATATGACCACCTTAGGAATGCTTAACGAAAGTCGGGAAATGGTAGATGGGTCCACTGGGTGCTGCTCCATAGACTGGCTTATGCAACTCCAACAACCCTCGTGTCCTCTGGTGAGGCTCTTAATACTCGGATTGTTAGCGTTGCCAGTTTATAATGCGATCTTGATTGTGGTGGGGTGAGTTTCCAGTTTTTGAAGAATTGAATGATGTAGATGAATGCTTTCCAGATGGCGTCTACACTGCAGTGCTTCTGGCAGTGCCGAGCGTTTGGTGCTGGACATCCAAAGGACCAGACCTGTCAAGCGTCACGCTCCTTCACCTCCTCCAGCTCCGAAACCACCACCGCGTCTTCGTCGACATAAGACCCCCAAGAGTGCATCCTCAAGTCTGATATTATGGTGTCCAAAGCCCCATCTCAGCCAAAAGAATCCCTTCGATGAGGAGGACCAGTACAAAAACCTCAGGGAGAATTTGAAAATGGTGCTTGGTGGCTTGCAGAGGACTCCTCTGCTACTTCCGGCTCCACAGCCCAACTTTATCCCTCCTCTAGTTGAACCCCTAACCCCGTCGGAATCACTGACTCCAACGGAATCCCCCCGGAGATGGAACCAAAAGCCTCGCTCTAAAGTTTTATCAGGGATCCTTAGGCATATAGGCATGAGCTCCATTCGGAAGATATGGAAAACACATACCAGCCGGAAGAAAAGTACGACTTCTGCAAATAGCTCTTCCTTATCTAATTCCTCGAGCTTGGGTACCAGCTCCTTCTATGTCTACTAAATCGAAATCTGACTTAGATCGAGGGAACCGCAAGCTCATCTATCAAGAAATCAGCGCTCCATTCAGTGTGAAACTCTGCGATTATATTTTGTTACGATTAAAAGCGTGCTGAGGTCAACCTTGTTGGCCCGGCCCATTAAGGCCTTGAATCTGCGCTGGCTTTATTAGAACATATCCGGCATTTGAGTTCCAAAGCGGTGGCCGACAAAAGACCTAAGCGACAAACCTTGTTCTCGCATCAATCTTGTGGCGGCAACCGACAAAAATAATATAAACACCAAAACACAAGTAAAACAAACAAAAGGCAAATAAGCACAACTTCGGTGAGCTTGCTCGTTTTCCGATGACTGGCTGATTAAGGGGCAGCGAAAGCAGATCGCTATCGTCACTCCCGTTTCAGCTCCACTTCGAGCTCCTCCTCCACCAGCCAAGCATCCAAGTGCAGCTCCATCATTGTCTGGGCCACAATAGCAGGAAGGAAAAAGCCAAAGAGCACGGGAAAAAACAAGGTGCTATTTGGAGCAGTGAAACTCGGATGCTCTGCACACCATAAACACTCAGAGGAGTATTTTTGGGTTGGGCGTTTTGGGTGATCAGAAGCCCAAATGGATTAAAATTTAGGTATTCGTGGAATTTCAATTTCAAGCTAAGTTATTGGGGTATTATCCAGAAGTCTAGGGATTACACATTTTATTGGGGTACAGCAAAACCTTCAAAAAATAAAAATATTTGTTGTGTGAGACATTTCTTGCTGATTTCTTATTAACATAAGTAATCCCCAAATAGATTAGTTCTATAAATTGCTATCAGCTTTGTCACATGACTGCAACTCATTTCGAAATCACCTTGAATTAATTTAGTTAAATTTTCAAATGAATGAATACTTATAACAAAATCAGTTTAAATAATAATAAACCGAATAATATACAGCCATCTTCGAACAACGGAAATAACCTGCTTCGGAAAGGGCAGTTCACCCTCGAAAATTACAACGCAAAATGAGCGGACGACTCCCAGACGAGTTTTTGTTCTTCCGCAGCCGAATGAGATGACCAGGGCACCCCGATGGTGCGATTCCAGTCGATCTGATGGTAACTAAGATAAAAAAATAAAAATAAACGAGACAAGGCCCCCCAGGCAAGGCCATTGAAAAGTGAAAAGCCGCTGGTGGACGGCATATGTTTTTCATAATTTGTAGCTAAAAATTAAATCACGTTTCTTATCAGCGATGTGATGCGATTGTGAGTGCCTTTCTTTTTCAACAATTACCAAAATCATAAAGGCAGCCAACGAAATTACCTACAACGAAATTTCACTTTCAGTTTGTACGACTGTGTTTGTGGTTGTGCTTCCGAAAACAAAAGACTTAAGGCACGAACTTGCTGGAGTGAAGGTTAAGTCGTTCGATTTGATATTCAATCGGTATAACGAATTCGAAAGCCATGCCAATGCACTCGTCGAAAAGGTCCCACCTGAACCGCATAGATAATAGGTATTCGCTATTCGAATAGATTCCTTCTTCCTGCCTCTCGCTTTTTGGCTTGCTTGGCTTTCGGTTTTATGTACTTTTGTGCATCCGATGTGAAACCTGGCCCCCTTGCGAAACAGAGCATCGTATGGAAGAGTTTTCTGGGGGAAAACTGGCACACAGAATTGCAAAAAGCTAAAACTGCAGCGAACATCAAATGGCAAATGGCACGCAATGGAATGGGCATAAAAAATGCACGCAACTAAGTCGGCCAAATGATTTACAGTGAAAGGCGGTGAAATTTATGGCATGCAAAGCGTGAGAAGACTTTGCAGCTGATCAAAAGATCATCAGGAACTGTAAGACCAGAACTTCGGAAAAAAATCGACTTCAATATGGACTTTCGCTTTCATTGGAGCGCAATTTGTGGACGCTTGCTAGTTGATTGGGGGAAGGGGGTGTGGCCAGGTCAGGGATTGGAGTTGAAATTGGACGGGTTCCGCTTATGAAACCCCTTCACAGAAACCCATATGCTAATTAACCTCGACTGCCTCCTGCTTTCTATCGTGTGAAACGTCAGCCAAGTGTTATGCACAGCGTATTTTGTAAATCATATTTCGAATTTGCATTTAACGCAGTCGCAGATGGAGATGGAAATGGAGATGAGGATGGGGATGAGGATCAGTTCGGAGACATTTGGCTGACGGCTCTTGGCCGTTTGTCTTTATGCTAATCAAACATGTTTGTTTACAAAATCCCAATCGGATAACAAATGGTGGCTACCAACCCCAGTGGTTGGGTGGGGGAGTCGACTAGTTTTACTCGGCTTAGTTACCGAATAAACGGCGCTAGTCAAGGCTGGGACTATTCATTTTTCAAATCGCGCTAAAGCTGCCTTAATCCTCTTTAAATTGGTTTATATTTTGGGGATGTTACTCAATGTGGAAGAAAAATGGTAGCCAGCTTATAGCTAATGCCAGATTATGGTTCTCTGTGAGCAGAACTCTAAAGCATTGTACATAACTATTCAAGATTCTATTAACTAACTTACAATTTATAAACTTTACTTTCCAAATGGCCATAGAAACGATTTATTGAAATGTCGCATACAAATCCACTAAAGTCTTTATAATACGCAATTTTCTTTAATAAAAAGGCACAATAAATGAGGCAGCTTTAAAATAAATTAGTAAAGAAACTGAAATTGCCTAAATCTGTGATTGATTCAGTGACGTTACAAGTCGCCCAAATCAAACCGGTTGATTGTGGTTTGGTTGAACGCAAATTGAAAGGCAATCACTGGCCAGTGTATATGGTCTAGCCCACCAAATCCGCTGTTAACCCTCTGTTGCCCACTAACAGTGGTGAACGAAGGAGCCGACCAAAGGCAACGCAGCAAATTTAATTTTCCATGCAGCTCACAGCGCGGGCTGCAAACCGAAAACTGTTTTTATGCTGCTGCTGCTGCTGCTGCTGCTGCTGCTGCTCCATTGCCTTGTTGTTGGACTGCTCGTATATGGCGTCGTACGTGGCGGACCTGAAACTGAAGCTCAGCCGTTGTCAAACACAAAACACAAAACACCAAACACCAAAGCAACAAAAACCGAAACCCCGCTCAATCCGGGGGCCAAACTAAGCTCAGCTATACTCTCCGCTGCTACATTCAATGCACTGAGGCAAATACCACACACATTTGGCTTAATATTGTATCACAGAAAAACCAAAGACTAATTTTAAAAGTACCACTGCAAGTAAAAGTATTCTATTGTTCATCTAACAAGCAGAATTTAGTTCGGCCTTTTAGCTGGAAGGTGCTTTTTCTTAACACAAGCCTTGCACACTATTTAGGTTTTGAAAACACCAATATTTTCTCGCAGTGCGGACGCCGACGTCGCTGCCGTGGCCGTTGTTGTCGTCGCCTTGTCTTGGCAGCTGGCGGCGGCAGCGCTCGAATCAGTTTCAGTTTTTCAGTCCAACGTGCGAGTTCGAAGCGACAAGCGGTCCACTTCGCCTTTTTGGGGGCCAGGATTTTTGAAAGTGACTAGTGACTAGTGGCAAAATATGTGCGGTTAGCCACGACAGTTTTGCAGTGTCTCGAAAGCCCCGACATACCTAAAAACCAATCCAATCCAATCCAATCGCATCGAATCGAATCGAGTCCAGATCAATCCAATCTAATACCGACTGCCCGCTCAAGGAGAATCGATTTTGTAGCTTGTGGATACGCGGCGCGGAGTCGAGCTTTAAAAATGGTGAGTGCAAATGTGTGTCAGAGGCATGGAGCTATGGGAATTATCATATCCACAACAGAACCCAACACAACCCCCTCGTCTTGCCAGAACAAAAAGCATGCCAAAGAATATTGAAAGTCCGTTGACGCAACGGATAAACGTATGCTAAGCAGCAGAAACTCCATGGCAGTTGGAGAACGTAAACTAAGAATGCACAGCGAAAAATCGTATTTTAGGCAAGACAATTGCGCATAAAAAACATAGAACAATGATAGGCAGAAGTATCATTATTTATTTGTAGAAACCCATTCCACTTCTTGCAGCAGAATACATATTTGGGAAAACACTTTTTAAAAGTAAGATCTGTCTTAGAGTTCATTGATAAAACACAGTTTTCGATACATTTTGTGTTGTTCTTGTTATGCTAATTGTTAAGTTTGCTTTATTCGCCTATCTAACACGTTCTCCACAAAGCTAGGAAATCGTTCAAAATTCTTTTCCTGTGTAAGACTTTATCGCAGAATGACGGAGTGTGTGAAAAAGCAACAACGTGAATAAGGGGCTGCAGCAACAACGACAACGGGTTCTGTACCGCTACTGACCGACCGAAGTTGAAGGCGAACTTGTCAAAGACAATGAATAAAATGAGCGCTGAGGGGCTAAACAAAAAAGAGTGTAAAGTGGGGGGCCAGAAGCTTGCAGGCGGTTTCAGTTTCGCTTTCGTAGCTGAAAGCCCATCAGAGAAAAGGGGAAAATGTCCGTAGTCGCCGCCTTCAAGTGGCCAATTGGCAACGGCTTTTACTTCCTCGGCCGTTTGAGGCGAAAAAGCGAAAAAAGCGAAAAACGAAAAGCCAGCTAGCCGAAAGATTTCCATTATGGCCGCAGCAGGCGGCACGCCTCAATTTGCCAGCAAAATCAGCAGCATTGGCAGCAAGTAAAAGTTGCACAGGCGCACAACAATAGCAAAAACAATAACTAGTTTTGTTTTACAACAATTAATATTTGCAAAGGAAAAAAACAAAAAGAAAATGAAAAAATACCTATAACTCGCCGCTGTCGATTGGCAAATAGTTCGCAAAGCAAAGAAACATAAAAAAACTGGTCTCGAAAAAGAAAAACTGCAAAAATTAGGTTCGAAGCGGAGTCTCGAAAACAGTGGAAAAGCAAAAGGCAATCGGAGAGTCCAAATCAAATGCGAACTCTGCTGGCTTTATAAATTAAACATTTTATTTTATGGTCTTTCGCTAGCCGCACAATGCAACCGATCGGACATACGAGCTCCATTATATTTCTGTGAACGA